TAATTGTTACTGTAGTATGCATCTGATGAGATACGGCTAAGATCATTGACAATAACACAACATGACACCCCTAGAAGATAGTGCAGCCCATGGGAAAGATCACGGCACATGAATGGAAGGTCAAGAAATCTCGTTCGACGACGTGAAGTGGTTTTTGTGTGTGGACTAAAACTTTACTCGTACCAGTTTTTGTTAGGATTAAGACTGAAATAAAAAGCCTTAGATTTTCCATAATATTATAAATAAAAACCAAGAAACCCAGACAGCGACTAAAGCACAGATCTTGGGTTAAAAAAAAAAAGGGGGGGGGGGGGGGGGCGGAACCCGGCATTGGCAGCCCCAAACAGAGACTTCTTTAGCAGAGTTGCCACTTTGGATGTTTTATATTCATATTTAGATGTAGATGGTGTTTTAGACGTTTAGATGGTAGGTATTTTTCTAGAAGTTTTTCATTTGGTGATATTAAATAGACTTTTTTTCTTCTTTTAGTGTCCGTTTAATAATTACAGTGTAAAATATTTACTACAATGTTTTTGTTTTGGTCTGGCACGTACATTGCGACAATTGCGATAACTTAAACTTAAAACTCTCACTGGGGTCAACTCTCAAATATCTGGCAGCCACGGTACTGATTAAAAGCGAGCGTAAATCATGCTTTGTTCCAACCGTATCCTCACTGTGTTGACTTTGTGTTTCTTTTTCATGTGATTTAACAAAAAAATAATTGCTCACCTTCGTCTGTGGCTTTCACTCTGTCAAAACCGTTCAACGTGCCAAAAGCAAAGTATGAATAAAAAATTCGGAAAGAGTGGCTGCATGATGACTAAATTAAAGACTGGGTGATGGCATTTCCTGTGGATATGACCAAGGCTCGTTGTAAGTAGGGCTGTACCGAATAGTGATTTTCACTATTCGGCCGAATACGAATAGCGGGACCAACTATTCGGCAGAATACGAATAGTGTTTCATCATCATCAGGTGCTTTGCCGACTGGCGTTGGCGATTTTGCCTCGCCACAATCTGCGATCTCGCGCAGCATGTATCAGTTCGTGTGCTGACACACCTCCATGACATGCAACAGGACTGTCAAGAATCTTCTCTCGTTGTCTTCCTCTATCCCTCCTTCCACAGATCTTTCCAGTGGTCACCACACGTTCCATTTTCCCTCTTCTCATAACATGATGTCTGTGATAAGTTGTCTTCGGGCTTGCAACCTCTTTTTTTTTTTTTTTTTTTTTTAGCTGCCTAAGGTATTTTAAGTATTGTTCCTTAAAACCACATCTTTGAGGCCTCAAGAAATTGTTTGGCCTGCCTACCGATTGTTTAGGACTCACAGCTACATGTTAAAACTGGATGTATGTAGCAAGCAAGAATTCTTTCTTTAACCTTCTACGACAAAGATATATTGCATTTTCTTCATTTTATAAAATGCAGTTTTTGCCTGTCCCATTCTGTATTTTATTTTAGTAATGCATCTTCCATCTGATGTTATCCATGTGCCAAATTCACATTTAAATCATCGTTCGCTCGGCCGTTCGTTCGATTTAATTTAAACGCACCTTCATATTCTCTTTAGCAATTTCTTCAAATTTGATTTGGGCAAAGACACCATGAAAGAACGAAAAATGCTCTCTCTCTGTGTGTGTGTGTCTCTCTCTCTCTCTCTCACACACACACACATAATCACACAAACACACACACACACTCACACAAGCAACAAAAAGAACGCATTGCCTTTAAATATATGTGCCTTCTTGACAAGGCTAAAAGTTAATATTGTACAGATCACATTTTACCCTTCAAAATTTGAGCCAAAATGTAATCATAACCTTACTTATCTGCTGCACCTTCACGAATACAGATGAATGATTGGTCGCATGTCGAGATAAATACAAAGACAATGTTTAGCACGCTGCAGTTGGCATTTTATGCAGTATGATACACTTAGAGTGTAAAACAAAAAAACAAAAAAACAAAAAAAAAACCTTTTTTCGACAATGGCGAAGAAAGACATTTATATTTTTAACTTTTAAGTATCTTTATGCCTTTTTCAATAATGGCACAATTTATAGCCGACTTTTCTGGCATACGCACTCAGTTTGAGAACCTCTGCTGTAATGCCTCGGTCGAGTCAGCAGGCAAAGACGTTGCCAGTCGCTGTTCCACGCAACCGGGTCGCTACGACAGACTTAAGCAACAGCAACTATTGTATTAATGAGAGATTTATCGCAGTGTATGCAGAAATCACTATTCGTATTTGGCCCGACCGCCACTATTCGGCCGAATACCGAATAGTTATTAGGTCCACTATTCGGCCCCGAAGCGAATACGAAGGGAATATTCGGTACAGCACTAGTTGTAAGTAATGCAAGTGTGAAATTAAAGCGAAATTACAAGACTTGAAAGAGCCATGCAGAGACTAAAAAGCATAAATCTGCAGTTCCATTCAAAGATAAAACACTGCTGACAGCTGTTTTCAGAACTACACTGATAAATGAATCATCAAAAGTTGAAGGATCGGTCGCAATGTTTTTAAGTTGTCTTTGTGCAATTTCAAACTGTGACCATTTGATTGATTTGTTTAAAAACATTATTTCTGATAGTAAAGTTATGGATGATGTGAAAATGTATCGCAGCAAGTGTACACATATTATAAGAACTACTTTATTTTCTCACTTTGAAACGATTTATTCAGTGATATTTCTACAAACAAATATAGTTTATTATTAGACAAATCAAATGATATTTCTGTACTGAAAGTGCTTGCTGTGTGTATTATATATTACAACTACAATACAAAGTAGTTTCTACATATCTTGGAATAGTTCAATTGGTAAAGTGTGATGGAGAAAGTATACTTGATGAACTAAATAAATTTTTAATTTGCAAACAATTAGACTTGAAGAATTTGGCTGCTGTTGGTACTGACAATGCCTCGGTGATGGTTGGTATAAACAATGGCGTTCATGCCAAGTTGAAGGAAGCTAGCTATCCCATCGTTAGTCCTCATAAAATGTATGTGTCATTCATTGCAGCTAGCATATGCTTCATCTGGACGCTTACCAAGGAATTTGGAATACCTTATAGCTGAAACACATAACTGGTTTTCCAAATCATTTGTCAGACAAGAGCAATACAATACATTAGGCTATCCTCCGAATACGGTCCCAAATTATCAAGGCCGAAAATATACCCTAATAGGGCCTCAGTCACATGTAAATTGTGGACTTCCAGGGACTACCGCCGAGAGTATTTCCTGCGCCGCTACGCGTGGCGCGGAGTGGGGCTAAACTAGATGGCTGAGACTTACGAGCAAAAAAATGAAGGAAGCTGCAGGAGATACGGTAGCTGCTGCTCGTGAGTCCCAGCCATCTAATTTAGCCCCACTCCGCGCCGCGCGTAGCGGTGCTGGAGATACTCTCGGCTGTGGCGGTAGTCGTCGAAAGTCAGCAATTTAAGTCACCGGAATCAGCAATTTACATGTAATTGAGGCCCTGTTAGAGTATATTTTCGGCCTCGATAATTTGGGACCGTATTCGGAGGATAGCCTAATGTATTGTATTGCTCTTGTCTTCGGAGGACAGCCCAATACATTATATAGACCCTTGAGTGATGGTTCCACACCACTGAAAATTCTGTCAGATTGCAAAACTAGATGGTTATCAATTCGACCAGCTGTTGAAAGAATTGTGAACCAATGGCTGGAGTTAAAGTCACACTTTGAAATAACAAAACAAAGTGAAAAGTGCTACACAGCTGAAATACTATATGGAATGTACAGTTATGAAAAAAATTGGCATTCCTTCTCTTTTTTGCAACCTATTCTAATTAAAGTGCAAAATGTTAATAAACTGTTCGAATCTAAACATGTTGATAAAGTCAAATTACTTGACGATCTCACTTTGCTATTTCACTTAGTTGGTAAAAGACTGGTGTTGCCAACTTCAAAAGCTGATTTGCTCACTTGAACTGTAGAGAGCTATTTGGCTACTAAGCCATACCTTGGATATCAAATCTAATCAAAAATGGATGATTTAAAAACAAAAGGACTATTAACAGAGAATAAAGAGAACAACTTAAGAAAACGCTGTGAAGATTTCCTTATCTCATTGTTCAAGCAACTGAAGCAGAGACTTCCTGAAAATCTAGATGTATTGAAACATATTTTACTTTTATTTTGTGAGCAGTATACTTCAGCCAGTAAAGGACATACCTAAATATTGTAAATTTATGAAATTTTTAGGGGCTACTGATAATAGTGTCGCGGAAGCAGAATATTAGTTAACCAAAATAAACTTAATTGAATGGACAAACAAAACAAAAACTGAAGCGTTTTGGAGTGAAGTGAGACAATTTAAAGATGCCTCATCAAACAGTCCATTTTGTAAACTCTTTGAATGTGCTATGTCTGCCATGACACTACCCCACTCAAATGCTGACGTATAAAGAGTTTTCAGTGCTAGGAATTATATCAAATCTAACCTAAGAAAAAGGATGAAACTTGATCTCTTAAATGCTATCTTGACAATAAAATTCGGCCTGATGAGAGTATGAAAATACTGTTCAACTTATCAGATCCCTGATTGTGTATTAAAAGACATTGGAACAGCTAAAGCATACCTGAGTCATTTTGGATCTGAAACTTCAGCTTCATCATCCACGCTATGTTTATCCTGTGGATCTTGTGAGGCAGACATCAGTGAAGGTGAGGACATGATTCTATAGTGTAAGTCATATCAATAGTTATGTAATTTCTGACTCTTTCCATTTGGATGTTTTTCTAGATGTTTCCACGCAAATTTAGATGTTTTTAGACATTTTTGGACTCCGTTTTAGATGTTTTTTGTCAAAGAAAAGTGGCAATACTGTGCTTTAGACTTTTTGTTTTTCAACCTGAAGATTGAGTATTGTTTGAGCCAACTTCCGGCTGAATGCTGACTGCTCATTTACCGTATACTTCTGTTTTTCTGGTTCTCTCTATAGAATTGAACATTTGAAACATGAATGTTATATTGGCTGTAAAGCAGTACATCAGTAAAATGATTGAGGGGTGTGGAGGAGGTATGAAAGTTCTGCTTATGGACAGAGAAACGGTAAATTTGACTATTTTAGTTGTTAAACAAGCCTTTCTATTAAATTAATTTAATTTGTTTATGATAAACAAATCATTTACTTTTCAAGTTCTTGTCTTAAGTCTTAACTCTTTGAGGCCCAAGAAGTGGTAATGCAATTTTTAAATTTCACAAGTGTAAGACATATAAACAGACCATACTAATTCACTTGCCGCGCAACATACACATATTCAAAGTGACCAGGGATTGTTGAGGAATAATTTTAGCATAGAGCTACAACTACAACAAATAATTGCGTGAGTAATTAAAAATTAGTAAATAAACAGAGGGTATGTTTACAAAAATTAATAAAATAAAATAATTTCCACTTACCACCATGGCACTCAAGAAAAACTGGTCAAAAGGTATTCAAAATGAATCCAAAATGAATATGAACCACTTAGTAATGGATAAATAAAATATAAACTCAATTTATACATTAGATTTTGTTCCAGAGAATCTTTTGAAGCATCATAACAGTGCACCATTATTTGGTATAAAGAAAACTGACTCCTAAAACAATAAGTATCTTCACGAAAATAAGTTTATCTAACACTCAATTTGCCTTGTAGCTATGTTCTTAAATAATAAGGGGAATAGCACTAAAACTAACTGACACTGAAGAAAATCATCTTTTCACTAATGTTTATTCTATTTGTGACAGCTGATTTTGCTATCGTTGTACCCTTCACATGAGTTACACATATCCCTCATCAAAGAGACTCTATAAATGACTGAAACATGCCTAATTCACAATGTTATCTATCTAACTTCGGATAAATGTAAAAAAACAACAACGTATTTTAGTTGAATTTTAGGCTTCCAAGGCCGTAAATCACATTGGCATGCACGTAGAATAGTGCTTGGCAGCCATATTCTTTTCAAACAAGCACTTAGTAACTCGGGAATGTTGCAAAAATACAATATTTTTGGCTTTAAATTCACGTTTCTAAATGAGCACGCTTGATATAAGACAGAAAGAACTCAGAAGGAAGTTGAAATTTAGCAGTCCGTGTTTTACAACCGGTCAGTGGTAGATTAAAAACCTTCATTTTAGGTTGAAACAAATTAGTGCGTGATGTGTTTCCTGGGACTCAAAGAGTTAATTGATTCCCAGCGGGTTTAGCATCAGAGGCCCAAAGGATGGTAATGCAATTTTTAAATTTTACAAGTGTAAGACATTGAAACATACCATACTATTTAGCTGCTGTTCAACATACACATATTAAATAAATATATATATATATAAAGAAATTAACATTAGATGCAGTAAAGCAAACCAAGTATTGGGACAGCTAGCCCCCCTCTTACAGCATAAGACAATCCCAATCAGCACAAAGAGACATCTTATTCAAAGCATATTTATTCCAACTCTGTGCTACCAGTGCCAGACATGGTCACTCACAACAAACCATAAAAGAAAATTAGCAACCATGGAAATGAGATGTCTGAGAAGGGCTGTAGGAGTGACCATAAGAGATAAGATCAAGAATGAGATCATAAGAGAAAAAGTCGGCACAGAACCAATTCTGGATTACATACGAAGACAGCAAGTGAAATGGTTTGCCCACTTAGAGAGAATGCCTTGTGACACCATACCATACAAAGCATACATGGAAAGAGAAGAAGGACGTAGAGCATGAGGTAGACCAAGAACAAGATGGAAGGATAACATCAGAGAAACTCTACAACAGCACGATGTGCCTATGGTCGAGGCGGTCAGAAGAGCTAGAAACAGAACCTTATATCTCTCTCGACACCCACAGCGGTAAAAGAGGAAGTGAAGAAGAAGATATATATATATATATGTGTGTGTGTGTATATATATATATATATATATACACACACACACACATACAGATAATGTAAATGTATTGATCGGAAGTCATAGAAAGACAGAAGGACACACAAGACAACATAAATATAAAGCTGTAGTTACCGTGTCGGTAATAGATTCTGTCACCTCCATATGGCGTGTGTGCCTCACCATGGAATCAAGTATATTAAAAACTTGACCAGCAGACCTCCCCAAAGCCCCCCTCCCTCCCAACCAAATATGTCTTCATTGGCCATGTCTGTCGTACAGCCTAAATTTCACAATTATACAGGGCAGGGGAGAGATATCTGGAACTGGTCCACCTGTTTGCTTCATATAAAGTACTTTTCATTTTCTTTTTTTTATGCGGTCTATTTACTGTGTGGTCAACCTCTGATTATGTTACCGCTGTATCTATATAACTTTGCTCTCTGTGATATCCTGTCTGATGCCAGTCTTGTTGCATGGCCAAACCATTTGATGAGTTAAGTTTAGAATTGACATTAAAGCACTCATTACAGCATTCCCATTTGCGCTCCATCTCTATCCTCAGCAGCCAGCGCAGAGTTTGAATAAAAAAAATCATTTGATGTCTACCTATATAGTTCAGTATTGATTCTGTGCCTACTGATATCATCGTTCCTAAGTCAATCTTTCCTCGTTACATCCAACAAAGTATGTAAACATTTAAATGCTTTCGTGTTTGTTTTCCGACTGTCTTCTGAAGACAGTGTCCATATTTGACATTGATAGCGTAAGGTTCATTAAAATATTGTGTTGAAAAGTGTTCTTATAATGTTCATATTCACCATGCATGCATTTCAAAATTTGCGCATTTTGCCTAAAATTCTATTGGTTTTATTGCATCTTTGCTGGATTTCTTTATGATTGGTTTTATTGCATCTTTGCTGGATTTCTTTATGATTGGTTTTATTGCATCTTTGCTGGATTTCTTTATTAATTCTTCCGTCTTCTGAAAAAAGGCACCCCACATTTGTAAAATCCATCACCTGCTTTAACTGGTGTTTATCAATTTAGATATTGGTTGTTGTCCTTTAATGGAGCATGTCATCACTTCTGTTTTGTCTGCGTTGATCTTCAAATCAAAGTTGTTGTATTCTGAATGGAGTCTATGATGTTCTTGTAGTTGTACTGCTCAGTCGTTGATGAAAAGTAATTCATTTAGTAATTCTCCAATGCTATCCCCTTTGCTCATGTTAGCTTATTTGCAAATTTGTTTGACATATGTGATAAACAGTAGTGGTGAAAGAATGCACCCCTAACTCCACTGTTTTGTTGTTCCTTGTCGAATACTTCTTTCATTTCTGTCTAGATGAGTATTGGCAACATATAATCCTGTCTCCAGGGGCTCCAGTTTGGAATAAAATTTAAGGGGCTATCAATTGCAGGCAGATCATTAGTTTGACTGCAGAGTTGATGGGCCTGGTGGATGAAACTGTTTCTTGTTAGTCACCTCTTTACTAGAACTTGGAATCTTTCTTTCATAGGGTGTTCAGATGTGCTAAGAAAATTTTCTATTTGTATCTTGGTGTTTCTGTGTTCTGTCAATGTTTGGGTCATGGCCATCTTATCCATCACAGCTATAGGTGTTGATTTAATCGCAAAGCAGAAAACGAGACGTAAACCAGTCACATCAGAGGACTTGTTAATCAACATAGAGCTGGTACCATTAGCCACTGGACACTGGGGTTCTTACTGAGGGGAGGATCTGAGCACCTATGGACATGTCTGGAGTGCAGTGATGATAACCTAACAAACTAACTAATTCTTTTCATTATCTTACCAACAACTTCAACATTATAAAATGTATCCTAATGCTTTCATCATTGACTAGTTCATTTCTTGGGATTTCAGTATCATCTGATTCCCATATAATTGTACTGTTCTTCTGATTTTCTTGGTAAGATGTTTCGTAGCTGCAGGATGGTCTTCTTATTAGAGTTTGGTATTGCTTTATTCTGTTTTAGATGATTCATTCTTCAGTCATTGGATTCTTGATAATCGTGTATCATGATCAATACTTATCATCAGATAAATCTCAACATGGTACAACACATTCCTGAAAAACCAAGCAAACTGGTGTGTATTTATTCACCCAAATAGCTTAAAGGATTCTGATTAGCAGATATAAGTCTCATATATAATATTCAGACATTTAGTGTGCATGTTTCTTCTTCTTCTGCGTTCATCCGAAGATGTAATTGCGTTGTGTCTGTTTACTGCGATATTTGCACCTTTCGGCCAACACATCCGACTTCTGCGGGCATTTGTTGACCGGGTTAGCCTTCCCGGTTAGGACATGGCAGTCTCATTGTTGTGTGGTCATCTTTATTTCCTAGGTCACTGGTGGTGCCCCAATCAGGCTGGTCCAGAGAAGCCACATAATGCTGATCAGCCCTCAAGATAAGGCAGGGGCAGAACATGAGCATTCCCCGCCATCCAAGGAGGCATCCACAAATGCAAAGCTAATATATGGTGCTCTGGTACTGGGCTCACCCAAGGAATCGTCATGTCCTGCTCATGACTGTTTAACCTCACTTCCATATATTGAACATCTCATACATTATGGGCTATCTCTTTTGTAGCCAACAGTATGCAGCCTGCAGACCTAGGATTTAATTTACCTACACCACAAAATGAGTACTTTGCTTCTTTTGCATGTTAGACTTTTACTGCAGTGGACCTCCTCATCCACTATAGTTTTACATGGTTTACGAGCTTTGCATCTCTAGGGACTATCAGCTTCCTCATCCACTATAGTTTTTCGTGGTTTACAAGCTCTGCATCTCTAGGAACTATCAGCTCAGAGAATCCCAGAGTTTTATTCTTCTTATACCTTCGGATGTCAATGTGGATATATTTGAAGAAATCAGCAGTCAACTTGAGGTTGTTGAAATCTCCACACAGTTTATCCTCAAAAGTTGCGGGTGTTAGCCAGAATAATTTTCTCTGTTCTGCATGTGTTGGACACTCTTGCAGCAAGTGTTTAGTCGTCATTTTACCCTTTCCACAGTTACAATCATCATTGTCTCCTATCTTTAGTTTATTGAACAAGTGGTGTTTCAGCCTATTATGCCCTGTGCGAAGTCTAAAGATCACTACTTGTTCTCTTCGGCCAAGTTGGTAGTATGCGCCATCCTTCTTG